GATGGCAGAAGAGGGTTGGCCTGGATGGCCTTTCTTGGGGTCTCTTCAAACTTCTAGGATTCTATGATCCTATGGAAAGTGATTCCGCCCAAACATTAGGAAGAACTTGTCTGATAGTGGAAGACGCTGCCTTGGAGAGTGGTGGAGTCTCCTCCTTTGGAGGTTTTCGAACAGAAGCTGGGTGGCCATCTGTCCCAGGGAGGGCTTGGATGGTGTCTTTTTTGATTGTGGAAGAAAGGAGTTGGACTGGATGGCCTTTGGGGGTCTCTTCCGACCCTATGAGTCTATGATTCTATGAACGCTAGGTCTCTCCTGGCCCAGTGATAGTAGGGGGTTGAACTGGGTGGCCCTTGTGGTCTCTTCCAACTCAATGAAAGGATACATGCATGACGTATTTGACTTCAATATCATTACAAAGCCAGCCCTGGTTGTCCAGTGGGGTGTTGCTTCTGTCAGACCTTGGGGTGGCTGTCAATATAGCTGCTTCCTGATGGGAAAGGAGGGATGGAGAAGCCATTATTCAGACAAGGAAGAAGCAGCTGGTCTTGGGTGGCTGGGGAAGAGAAATGAGAATCCACTCCCGGGTTGAGGACACCTTTCTTTTCCTTCCCTTTGGAGCCCAGACCAGTCACTCCAACATCCAAATGGCCTCTTCCTCCCTCCCCATCCAACTGTAGGCAGTAACAGAAGCTGTAGACCCCAAGATTTGGGGAGCTGCTGAAGGGACGCTTTTGAACATCGTTCTAGTGCAAAGAAATGTCCCCTGTGCCCCTCCAAAAAGATATGCACTTCAGTGCACAAAGGCCACTACCAGAATGGTCACTACCGCAGAGACCTCACCTTCCACAGGTATACGATATACAATGGGGGACACCTGGCTGAATGAGACTACGTGTGAAAGAGATCTAGGAATCCAGGTGGGCCACAAGTTGAACATGAGTCAACACTGCGATGCAGCAGCTAAAAAGGCCAATGCAATTTTAGGCTGCATCAATCGAAGTATAGCGTCTAGATCAAGGGAAGTAATAGTGCCACTCTATTCTGCTTTGGTCAATAATCCTGTGTCCAGTTCTGGGCACCACAATTCAAAAAGGAGGTTGAGAAACTGGAGGGTGTCCAGAGGAGGGCAACTAAAATGCTGAAGGGACTGGAAACCATGAATCCCTATGAGGAACGACTTAGGGAAC